CCAGTTAGCGTTCTTGCTCCAGATTTTTGGCCATCTAGATTTCCTGAAGAAATTCGGGAGATTGATATTGGAGGTGGCGAAGAGATATCGCGAAATCTCGTATCCGAGATGCATCATGCCGAGAGATTCGAAGAATTTTCTGTGGGAAAATCGACAGCTCCCCGCAGTATTTCGAGAAAGAATCGAAATCGAAAGCGTCGTAACAGGCTTGTGCCATTTCTCCATATCTGATGAGCTCGGATCGGAGAATCGGGTCCATTGGATCCAATAACCCGACCCAGTCATCCTGCCCGTGAACTTCGCGCCACACATCGGCTAGTCGTCTCTCTGGTTGTTAAAAGCATACCCATCGTCTTCGTCTTCTTGTTCCTGCCCCTCACTGATCAGTTCTCTTTCTTTATCGAGCTCGGTGATAATGGAGGATAAGGACTCGCTGGTCTGGGACAAAACCCTGGTGATAATTGGCCGTTTTGATTTTAAAGAGTGGAGGGTTTTGGTGTTGGGAAACTCAGATTTTGGGAGTGAAAATGAAAGTGGAAGAGAATTCGAATTTTCAGATCCGAATATGTGATTTTCTATGGGAGGAAGACGAGGGTTTGACAGAGAAATTGCCATGGATGTCAGCGGGAGCTGAAGGTGGTTGAAAGGAGCTGGCTGAGTATATTATTATGTAAACGTTGTCTGGTGAAATATAATTAAAATAAGAATATTGAGGGGAGCAACATATATATATATATATATAAGGTAAGCTGATACAATATTATATATGTAATATCTATAGTCTACATGTAAGGTTCGATCGTATCACTTTACGACTGGAGCAATATATTTAAAGTAAGATGATATAATATAATATAATACAATATATATATATATATATTATATTTATAACCCACATGTGATTCATGCATGAGTTTACTTTCAATATGTGAACAAGGAAGTTTACGTAAGAAGCTTCTAGGTGGGTTACTTTATTATATTTTTTATTCTTTATAAAAAAACAAAATTATATCCCCCTATTAAAAAATTTTAATTATTTATATAATAATTAATTTAATTATTATAATTTTACAAATATAATAATAAAATAAATTATTAATTTTATTAAATTAATTATCGTTAACTTATAATATACCGTAAAAAAATAAATTTGGCATTTTTTATAACCACATATTTTATGTTTTATTATATTGTAATAATATATATATTATTAATTAATGATTATATAATTTAAAAAAAAACTATATTAATATGATAATACTCATGAACATAATTATTAATTTAAAATTTTCTTGTATAAATCATAAAAATTAAACATTTAAACACAAATTAAATCATAATATATAGTAATTAATTATTATATACACTTTCGCCATCATTATTCTCGTTAATTAATTGAAAGCATTTAATATTTGATAATGATCGCAGACACTCTTTTGTTTTCTTTTAATTACTTATTCGTGTAAATATCATTACAATTACCCTTTTTTAATAATATAATTCACAGTTTGTGAAGAAGACATACATATATATATATATACACACACACACACATATATATATACATATACATGCATTTGCATGTGTTTTAGTGTTATATAATCTATATATTAGTTAATTTAATCAGATAAAATTAATGTGTCATTCCATGTAAAGAAACAGTATTGCAATTAGTACTTAAATTTTTGTTTTTAAAGTTTAATTAAATAATATACGTATATTTATTATACTATAGTAAAAATAATTACTTACTATTTAGATAAACAGTGGTTAATAATATCAAAATTTATTAATTATTAAATAAAAAGATTAATTACTCATTAATGGATAAATAATTATTTCCATCTTCAAAATTTTTTATTAAATTTAATTTGATTAATATTTTAAGTCCATGTATGTAATTGGCC